ATCTTCTGGATGATGGCTTTCGTAGTTCTCCAAGTTTCTACTTCATACACTAGAACTGTCTTGACATTTGTATTGAAAATTCTGACCTTGGTGTTGGTTGACAATTGTTTTGAGATCCAGATGTTCTTCAGTTGTAAATATGCTGCTCTCGCCTTGCTGATTCGCTCCTTCACATCTGCGTCAGATCCACCGTGTTCATCGATGATGCTGCCCAGATATGTAAAGGTTTTTACATCTTTCAAACCTTCTCCATCAAGTGTGATTTGATTGGCGCATTCTGTGTTGTGTCGGAGAATCTTACTTTTCCGTTTATGTATATTGATACCTATGGCTGTTGAGGTTCATGCTACACTGGTCGTCTTCTTGTGCATTTGCTGTTGCGTGTGCGATAGAAGAGCCAGATCATCTGTGAAGTCTAGATCGTCCAGCTGTATCCTAGCTGTCCACTGTATTCTATGCTTCCCCTTCGATGTTGACGTCTTCATGAGAGTAAGCAACCTTGCCTGACACCGGTCTTTACCTCGAACTAGTTTTTCAACTGTCTTCCATGCACGATTTTGCAGTTTAATTCATCATGGCAATTCTGTATGATATTGACTATCTTCTGAGGCATGCCATAGTGTCGAAGAAGCTAAGTGGTACATATAACTGTTTAAATATTCATTGTAATAGATAAATGTTATTTACTTTAGGATACGAATAATAAAAATATTAGTTTAGTGATTTAGATCACACGATCCACGTTTGGGAAATATTTTTTCCTGGCAGCTTCGATTTTGGAGCTGTGTTTGTTCTACATATTAATTTTTTGTGAGCGTCCAGCATGTTTATCTAGCAAACTTGTCGCATTTTTCACGTAGTACTGAAATCAGGAAATGTTTTCAGTGGATTTGTATAGGTTCAATTTGAAAACTGATATTTTAGTTATTCTGTTAGTCTCATATCCTTCTTCACCTTAGATACTGTTTTCATCCGTCAAATATCAACTGTTACTCAAGGCTAATTTGTACTTGATTTATTGAGTAGTAACAGCTCCTAATGATTACCTTTAAAAGTGTTGTAAATATTTGAAGTATGTCAAACATATAAAAACTAAATGTTTTGCGCCAAATTAGTGTAATAATCTAGTACTGTCAAGAGGGGCTTAAAACTTAAGAATAAATGGGTAATGAATTATAAACAAACTGAAACATATATATCGCTAATTACAGAACTACTTATTGAAATATACACTATTTTAACCAGCTTTTAGCTAACCCACATTCAGAAGATTTATTGAGATTTATATGCCTATATGATTCATAGTTTTTGATCAAATGTAATTTAAAGTCACTCATCTCATATTTTTGATATTCCAGGATGAAAAATCGTCTAGTATCGGAAGTTCCAACACCAGCTAGAAAAGTTCTTGATCCTACTATGCCACATCCTGATCGTTATGATTTGTATGATCCTAGAAATCCTCTTAATGTTCGTAAGAGGGGTGGAGATGTGGAAAGTATGACAGAGAAAAAATCTCGGCGTGTTTAAGATGTTTTTGACAAATTTTTATTCATCTTTCTGTACATAAGTTGTGAATGTATTTTATACAGTGGAATACAGCACCTTTCTTCCAATGAATTGTATAAGTTTTTGTAATTCTTGGTTCACTTCCCTTACAAAACAATCAAGTTTGTAAATAACTGATTTTATTAACACACGCTGTTCAACCCAAAACTACTGAATTTCTTGATGACTTAGATTTGTGTCTTGTTGATGATAAGCTTCGGCTGTGATTGTTAGGGAAAATTTAAATATTTATATAGATTATATTAATCAAACGAAAGTATGTTCATTAAACTGATTGAACAATGAGACAACACTTCGATATTCATTAGAATGAACATAAGATTATCGCTTTTTTGTTTCCGTCACACAGCTAGAGAATTTAAAGATCTTATTTAAAAAGTTTCGTTAAATTCGCTTTGAAGTGAGTAGTGATAAACTATATATCCCATGAAATTGACTGTTTGATTTCGATTTCTAATTTACGGCTGCGAAACACGGGCATTAAGGGAAGAGAGTACTCGTAAGTTACTAGTGTTTGATCACAGATGTTCTGGAAATATTGTTCGCATCTGCTGGGATCACGGGGTAGGTAACAGTGAGGTTAGACACAGAGTATTAAGGAATGATGGCAAATCAGTTAATGAGGTTATTAATCTTCATCTACTGAGATATTTGGGCCATGTATTAAGCGTAACGAACTACGGACTACCAAGGCGCGCAATATTTATATATTTAAACGTATAAGTATTGGTACAAAGGAGCACCAAATACATATACGCCACACTTCACTCGATTTATATGAGGGCTTGAATGCTGCCTGGAGTCACTGTAGGAAGCAATTTCCTACAGGTGTAACTCTAAGCTATTCTCTAGACTGTCGAGCACAGAGTCTTGGTTTAGCCAAAGTCAGAACAAGTAAGCTATTTGGCTTGATAAATTTTATCTGTTTCTAAAACATAAATTAACACCGTTAGTATACAAAATAAACAATACAGTCTATCAACACAGGGAAAAACAGAGACATAAATAACATACCGAACAGTAACTAGAGGATAGGGAAAATGAGTCAACAAGGCAAATATTGTTTTATGATGAACATAAAATTGTGATTGGTGAATAAACAAGACGTAGTCATACAAGGTCAAAGAAAGTTAATGTGGTGGTGGGCATTTCACTCGATCATTGGTGAGTTCGTTTAACGGTCACAACTTACAGCCACTTCCCGAGCCTTTGACCTAGAGGTCTAATCCATAAGACAGTAGAACAAGGTGCAGTCCCATGATTGCCGGTGACCAACAGCAGGTTGATACGTCATTTGTACCCTCAGCACTACGTAGCCCATGTGCACGATTGGTTTGAAATCAGGATTCTCCAACTCACCTAAGTGGATCCTCCGTATTCGCCAACCCGCTTAAAGTACCGGACATCCGCTTTCCGTCCTCACAATTTTATAAACAACCATTCAGCCTCGAGAAGGCAGTGAGTAGGACTTCCCTGTCAGTGGCTGTATAGGCTTGGCCATGTGATAGCATTTCGAAGAGCTGACTCTCCCCACCCTGGGCCGTAGCAGGTATTTAATTCTTCCTGTATTATATCTTTATACATAATCTTTCTTTTATATATTACTACCAATGAAGTGACTACTATGAATTTGTTATTCATCTTGTTGTGCTAATGAGGTATGTTAACTCGAACCGATGCATATATGTGCCTTGTCTTACGTTTTAGCTGACTGGCTACAATTTCAAAAATATCCCCCTAATATTTCTAATAAACGTTTAGCAGTGTTAAATGATTGTGATTATTCTTAACTGTAATTTGTTTAGAATTATTCCTGGCTGTATTCTGTGCCGCTCAACTAAATTGGTGTTATTAGTTAATACTTGACAGAGCTCAAGAACAAACTACAGAGCAATCTTCTTATCGACTTTATTCTTGGGACTCCCTTATTAATGTTCACATTTTTTGGTGACTTCAATCAACACAAATGTAATATTAAAATTATTTAGTGGATATTGGTTGAAAATCAATTGTCAAATTTAGAATTCATCACAGAAGCAGTTTTTTGTGGGGTAATACTTGGTTTTCACCAGAAGGAGAAACTGTTGCTTCTTATGAAGACTCGATCATCATCTAAGAAAAGTCTATCCATTTTGTAATGTACAGTTTTCGACTATACAAGGTTTTCCCTTTATCGAAATCCTCACTGCTACTGTTATTAAGCCGCTTGATTACAAATTACATTTAATTGAATAAACAATCGGTATTACAATATAAAGGCTACAGAATAATTTAGCATAAAATAAAATTAGAATAAATGGGTTAAATGTATTCACGAAAATCAATTACTTGATTTATATACAGTCGTACCTGAAGTAGTTTGTCAAAAGCTGTAAATCACATCTAATTATCACAAGTATTATTATCTCATCTTATGTGATATGTTGTATTGTATCGTCTCATATATTCTGTTTAGTTTAGTTTTATTGTAAATTATAACAGTTATAATTTAACAACTAATAAATTAAGGAAGCCACTGAGAACACAGATTTTTTTCATTTAATAAACTAATCAACTCAGTGAAACACTCAAAAGACAAAGTTTTATTTATAACGTTTTCATTCCTTTCAGTTTGCAGACTAATATACACATTTTGCAATGATTAGTGTTTAGATAACGTTCATTTTAAAATGTAATATTCAAAGATAGTTAACAATTTTTGAGTTTGCGTTTGTCAGAAAACAGTTTAGTGTCCAGGGTTTATTACCGAATTTGACAAAAATGTATACTGATCGGAAACTGTTAGTCACTTGGATAATATAATACAATGTCTGACTGCTAAGTCTACATTTTCACTTGTTTATGAAATTCAATCTGAATTTAGGGTACCGTGAATAATCAGTCTCTCAGCATGTTCCAGATCGGGACGAAGATACTTAGAAAATCAGCTCGTGATCAAGTGTAACAATCGGCGATTACACCAAATGACTGAAATCTGTCAAAAAAAGTTATGTCAGTAGTCGTAGATTTTTCTACCGTCTCAAAAAGTTGGAAGTTTTGTGACAGGTGTTCCTTACATTTATATTTTAGTATGAATACAATGGTTCAGATAGTTTTATTCGGTGAGTTCTCTACATACCCTAACTTCGCTTTGAATCTGATGTCCAGAATTTCAATTCTTGATTCAGGAATTAGGTGTATAAGTTTAAAATCACATGGCTTCACCTATGTAAGTCTAGGTCTGATTCACTCTTTACACTTCTAAACACATGATGATTTTTCATTAAACATCTGTCAACAAATTCATGTACCAATCATACATGAAATAGTCATAGTGAAAGTGATTATCATCATAGACGTTAGGATCAATGATACAATCTCTATTAAATCCACCACTAGAATACTTTTATTTCACTAAATATTTCTTTCCTATCTTTAAATAACATTTATCAGCTTTTTTTTATAATTTTATTCAAAGTTTGAGCAACTTCTTACACACAAGTCGGGAACAAAATGAAAATAGACAGAATAAGAACAAAATAGAAAACAATAGTAACACCAATAACATAGAAGAGTATATAGATTGTCTACAAATAAAATTAGGGACAAGAGTTCAAACAGAATTTAATCAACCACTATAAATTAGTTCGAATGTTAAAATATTACTTAAATACCTAAATTTTAAACTAATATTCATTGTTGTTTTGTATTTTAAAAGGGAATGAATGAAATTTTGTAATGGGCTTTCAATTATATAATTAGTTGTCAAGTTTATTTTCAGAAAAAGTAAAGAGTAACGAAATAAAAGCAAAAATTTGAATGATCCATACAATTCATCTTATTGCATTTTATGATATACTAATCGATCTAAGATGAATATAAATTACTTGAGATTTTATTCTTTCTATAGCCTGACAATAACATGTATCCATAACAACTGCAATAATATTAATAACAATTAAACCTAGAAAATCAAGTGTTAAATTAAGGAAACATTGTTGCTTTTTGAAAAAAGAATATCGTGTTATAGAGGAGATATTTCTTGAGAATCAAATAGGTAATAAATAGGTGTAATGTTACATTTATTTGTCTGTGTACAATTGTGTTTCCTATATTAGTCGAATAAAAGAGAAGAGATTAGTTAGTGGGAAATAGGTTTGGGACTAAAACAACAGTATGTTATTATTATTATTATTAGTAGTAGTAGTAGTAATAGTAGTAATTGTGGTATTATACAAAGCATATGACTATCTCTCATAATCCTCATTCTTGATAACGTTGTTATCTAATCATTTCAGCTGTACACGGCATAATATACCAGATAATACATGAATCCTTTACTTTACGTAAGTCTGTATATATGTATGTATATACGTGCGTGTGTATTGATTTGTGAAAATAAGATCAGTGACGAAAAAACGTACAAGTGTATAGAAATTTTCTCAGTATAATTGAAGAAAAAGAAGAAAATCACACGTATTTCAAATCAAACAAATCATAATAATAGAAGAAATAAAGAAACTTTTCAAAATGTTCGAAACTAGAAAACTTTTATATTTATTTCTTTTCATTTATTCTATCATAATATGTTTACCGATTGCTGATGATGATGATGATGATGGTGAGGATGACAATAATTCACTTGATTTAATTATTATTTTCCAGCATTATTTTGTTGTTTAGCTTTTAAAGCGGCTGAAATGAATTTTTTCGCAGTTTTAATTGTTTTCATTGCTGGTGTATTAGTATCACTTGACATTGAACGACCAGTGTTTAAAGTAGTTTTAGATGATGGATTTGATTGATTTGAATTTTCAGTTAATAAATTAAAAAAGAAAAATGCTAAACTAGCATTAATTAATAAAACGAAGACGATAACGAAATTAGCATGAATCCAATCCTATAAAGTAAAAAAAAGGAAGGTAATATTATAAATAATTGGTGTATCCCGATGAGTATAATGAATAGTAACTTTTGGGATCCATTTATGAACCAATACTATGCGTATATTTTTATTGTATAATTGTTAAGTAACCAAACTATTCATATTCGTGTTCCTCTTATTATGAGCTTTATTTTGACTTATGAACTATTATTATACAATTTACCATTCTTGAGTTATGCCCTGTTTATCAGTTACTATCTCCCTTATTCACAGCCACATTTGCCTAAATCTTGTACAAATGTTATTTCCTATTTTATGGTGTGATGTGGTCTGTTTAGTTGGTATATAAACCCAGTATGCTTGAAATACATGATTCATATCGCAGAGGCTGAGATTGGTGTTCTGAATTTAACAGGCTAGGCTAGGCGGGAAACAGGACGGATAAGGACTCTATGCTGCTCGTACGTGTCTTACGCGTCATTAGTTCGATCGATAAACTACTGTTCTCTAATTGACGGTATCATTACTTTGTACATTAACAGGGCATAAAGGCCACAAGTTGCAACAATAATAATAGTGCTAAAATTAAGAAATAAACAAATTCTCTTGTTTTCTTTTTTAGTGCAACAATATAAATTACAATAAAATATTTAACTATATATTTTAGGGTAGTGGTTAGCAACGAATTTCAAAACTTATGTTTTTTAAGTTTAGCACTTTGTTATTTTGTTGTACTTACATTCCATTTTCTTGATGTCTACAAATGAGGCTATTATTCATCGCTTCAAAGAGTCAGTAAGTTCTCAGTTAGTCTATTGATTTGTAACTACTACTAACTTATTATGTGATATTTATTATTATTTGTGCTAAAATCAATTTGTAAATACAGGTATCGTCAAGGTTACCATTCAAAGAGCTAATGTGTCAAAAGACACATATTAAATTCAGTCCTGAATATGAGTTAAGATAAAACAGAGACGCATAAAGAAATGATAAATAACCATCTCCATACGATTTCTTGTGTGTTGTAACTTCGAGTTGAATAATTTGACAAAATAAAAAACTTTTTATCAGATATAACTTGAAGAAGATCAATAACATTTCATTGACAATGACAGCTATTCTAACTATAAACAACTAACACAAAATTATAAGACTGTCGTGTTAGAACGTTATCATGTTTGTTTTGGATTCTGAAATTTATTAGTACAGTTAATGCTTTACCTGATTGATTAATTTGCTGTTCTACATATATATATTTATCAACATGCCTTTACATTCAATTTCATCCTAGAGACCTGTAAAATGTATTGGATTACATTTTATTTGGATTCCGTTCAATATTTCTACACATGATATTAACCAATAATTATATTAGTACTTAGGCTTCGAATTGGTGATTGGTCTTGTTCTCTATATCGGTGAAATATTCACATTAATATGATTGGAATGTTAAAGGTTTTTCGACTACTTTCCACCTAACTAGCTTGAAGAAGACAGGTCATGTTGTTATATGTTCATAACTATATAATTCTACTCTGACAATCTATAAGAAAAAGTATACTTTTAGCCGAATTTTACCTTAATATCAGCCAAGCGTATGACAATTTCACCTCGTTTTCGTCTTTCCATTTCATGATATAATTCCTGTCTTCTGGCTTGACTTAAACGTGCAACTTCTTCACGAGTAAGTACTCCAGAAACTGGCTGTTGTGCTGCTGTACACCTTGAAGGACTGTCATATCGACCTGCTGTGTGGCCACGATTTATGGAAATATCTGGCATACTGGCTTCTTTCACAGCACCCGGGAGGTGAACTATTGACTCGATAACATATGATTTAGGAAGAGGCAATAAATCTGGTGATTCTGGATCGCGATATTGCTTATTTGTCCCAGATCTGTTAGCTGTAATAACTCCAGTATTTTCCATAGCTGGTCTATATGGATCATATGCTCTGTTTTAAAATAATAATGATAAATATGGTTATGATTTTTTAATAAAATAATGTAAATTGGAATTTTAAGTCAATAAACCAGACTCTATACCAGTTTATACTGTTGTTTGTAATCTATTAAAAAGAGTAAATGATACTAGGCCACTTATATTATAACTCTAAGAAGTGAGTTGAGAAGTTTTTAAGCTTTCATTGTTAAATGTGTAGATAATAGAGGAGGTCCAGAAATTTACTTGTAATGAATAACATATCCTGACCTTATTTATTTAATGAATTTTTAAAGTACAAGTATGTGATTAATTTCTGAAAAAAGTTACCTATCAACCGATCATACAGAGATTAAATCACATTTTCCTCATTAAAATATCTCAAATAATTCTGTTGTGACTCAGTTAGCTTCTCAGTGTTTAAGATTACAAAGTTAGAATTTAATTGGTAGGTTATTTAGTGCACTATTTGATTTTTTTCAGTTGATTACTTTTCAGTGATTCGTCAATGTAGCTTAATAACTATCCAATATTTTCTTCAATGTATTTCTGCTATAACTGTGACGGCAGATTAGAAGACAGCGAATTACCGATCGGACCAAAGACGCGCAAACACGTAAGAACGGCCTAGGGTTCTGATTGGTCCCGCTTCCCTGTCTAGCCCAGCCAGTTGAGTTCAGAACACAAGTCTCAGCCTCGGCGATATGAAACATTATATTTCAAACACACTCTGTTTATATACTAATCAAGCAGACCACATCGTACCACAAAATAGAAAATAACATTGTACAATATTGACCAGTAGGAAAATGACACGTGAAATAAACATTGACCAATAAGGAAATGACACCATCTCAAGTCCAAGGATAGCGTTAGACTTAACAGAATAATTTCTGGAATATTTTTCTGAATATCCCAACCATTTCTCTTCTCTAATTTCAATCAATTGAAGTTAAAACTAATTAATCCTAAAGAAATTGCTTAAGAAAGTATTTTTTATAGTGATATTTCAAAGAATCTGTAGAAGAAAACTCGTGTAGATAAGAAAAATATTTACTAAAGGAAAATTTGGAACCATATTTTGTACTGAATGGTTGTAGAATGAGATGTCGAAAGTCCAGTTTAAACTATGTGCAAAACAACGTGAATCAATTTTCGAAAAGTGATTTGTAATTGACTGATAAAACTAAAAATCATTTTTGCGTAACGGAATGAGACTAAAATATGAAATATTCGAAGCTCATATGAATTCGATGGTTATTTTTCCAATTGAGTGTAGATAAAGAGGAGATGTGTTACTAGTAAGTCATATGAAAGAACGACTGGTAACTGGATATATCACATAAATAACATCTTAGTAGTTAATCTGATAACGTGTTTTATTAATAGGGAGTATTATTAGATTATGAAGTTAATCCACGTTCGATTGTTTATTTGCTAATTTTCAAAACGTTTCTTCTATCTTCATTACCTAAATAACTGTAGAATTTTCTTTATTGCGTTAATGTAAATTTGTATATATGAGTTGTGAGTATTGGGTCATGTCTGAACTCAAATTAATGTTCTCCTCTATTAGAATCATTGAATAAATAATGTTGATCATCTACTCAGAGGTAAAATATCAACTAATATAAGACTAAGGTGAGGTAAACCTTAAGACGCTTAAACATTAAAAAAGCACTAATAAAACCAAACACTTAGTCTGAATCTTTTGGGAAAATATAAACTATTCGATTTAATCTTCAGGACAACAGACAAGTGTCTAAAGACTGTGCATTCAAGGAATTAATGTGGGTTACATGAGTACATGGGTATTTAGTTTTTATTGTCTTTTTTGTTTACTTTAGTGTCATTCGTTTTCGCCAAATTCCAGATTATGAAACTGTAAAATGTAGCAAGTTGTTTTGACACAGCTTATTTCAACGCTTTACATTGATCTGTCTCGCTGTATATATGTTCACGGTATGCCTGACAACTTTAAAATAAGTATTTATGGCGTAACTATTAAATATTTTAAAACGTTATGATACACTATTTTAAAGATAAACTCACGTAGTCCATTCTGGTCTACTACCTTCCAGATAATTAGTTTCCGAAGCTTTCTGAGGTGACCCTGTTGGCCCTGTGGAAATTCTGTCACGTTGATTTTGCTGACGATGGTGAGTCTCGGCTTGAACTCGTTTTCTAATTCCATTCTCAATTATATAAGTGGCAGCTGCATCAGCCGGCAAATTTTCGGCACTATGTACAGTCTGATCATCAATAATAGAACTTAATTTAGAACTGAGAGTTGATCCCTTCGTTGTCTCATTTCTTCTTGAGTTTGGCATTTGTGATCCTAGTTTAACACAAGCATTTCTAGTGATTTGAATAGGAGGCTCAGTCATTATTGATGGTAGAGTTCTACGTCGTACCTTGTTTATTGACGATAGTGGTGTTTCAGGTGGTGGGACAGGTTCTTTTGATAATACAGACTCTTGTTCCCAGTTATCCATGAACATCTCCTCATTATTGATTTGACCATTAAAATTCATTTCCATATTTTGGAAATCATGTATCTGAGAGTTGTCCACATAGCCAATATGAGCACGATATGTTTCACATGGCTGTACAAGTTGAGTTTTATCTATTCGAATTTCAGTTGACCTATGAGCTCCAGTTTTCATAAGCTTGGCGCTGTTAATCACTGGGGAATGAAGGGATGCTGTATCAGTAGGTCTGTTGTGTGTACGTGGCATTGTACTGTATTCGAATCCTCTGCTGGAATTGTTTTTTGGTTCAATAGGAATATCCAATTGTTGACTTGCTGATGCTATCAGATAAGGAGAATGAGGATGTTGAGCCATATGCTGAGCAAATTGTTGTTGATCAGATGATGGATAGCCTAAACCAGTAAATCCAGTTGTAGCAGCTCTAGCTATAGGTCTTCCAGCTGGACTTCTCTGATATCCTAATGTTGTATTTTGTGAATCAATTTGTTTTCTATACTGTGTATTCAAATTATTTTCTTTTCCTACCCCATGAAATTCTTTTGAGTGATATCTTTGCTAAATACAAATAGTTAAAACATTTTGATTAAAAAAATAATAAACAAAATCATTCATATTCGAAAAGATAAGATAAGATATGGAACAGATTGTTGACTTCTATCTGTAATGTTTTTCTTTCTTTTTTTGGGGGGGGGGCTAGAAGGTATTATGCTGTTTGATGATAATATCGAAATTATCTTCTCCAGTAAATTAATCAGTTACTTTCTTTTCTTTTTTCTTATCTTAAACGTTTATTTTATAATGATAAACCAAAATTAATAATTGATGCTAAGGAATTTATCCTATAATAATAAAACAATAGTGCTTTCAAATGCTTTCAAACAAGATAACATACTATGATTGATACTGTTTTTCATAAATTAGACAAGTCAAGCAAGAAAATAATACTTTAAAGGTTTACTGTAAGTCATTTTTTGTACTGGAAGGAATTTCAACTAAAGTGATAAGATGGTATTAACTAACTTAAGAATATATCTCATAATTATTTATCTTTTGGTGTTTAATTTGTTTAATTTGGTTGGCATTTTTTCGGCAAGATTTTTTCTACGGGATGGAGTTACCGACCTCATGCTCAACCCTTCTCCTCCTTTACTCGGGCTTGAGACCGGCAATAAATTTAGAAGGGCTATAGGCTTGAACTCAGAATCTTTATGGGAAACAGAGAAGAGGAAGGCCAAAGAACACATTACGTTGGGAAATAGAAGCAGATATAAAAAGGATGAATAAAATTTGGAACGAACTGGAAAGGATTGTTCAGGACAGGGTTGAATGGAGAGTGCTGGTCTGTGGCCTATGCTCCTCGGCGAGGGGTCACAGGCGTAGGCAAGTTTGGAATATTTATGAAAATGAGAATGAGCTTTTCATATTACTTGTTTAAAAAAAGTAATCTACTTTGAGAAGATATTTTGATCTTGCTCTCATAAGCTCTGATCCATAATTGATGTAATCTTCTGCATTATTCTTGATAGTTTGAAATCTATGAAGTGATTAATTTCTATCTCAGGTAATAATGAATCAACAAATAAATCTCACAATCTATGAAAATCTATTTAATTTGCGGTCTTGATTTGTTAACAAAGCATTAATGATTTTTTTATTTTTACATTTAAGAAAGTTTACTGAAACTTTTTAATTTGACTTGATTTTAGTGTAGTCTATTCTTAGCTAGTTCATTACAAGACAAGTATAGTTAAAGCTTAACTAGTCTAACATCTTTGCGTTATAAGAATATTGGTTCTGACTTTGTTCATTTAACCATTAACATTACTTTACTGAAAACAGTTATACGATCTACTCAGATTATAGGTTACCAATCTATGTAAAAGGATTATTAGAACATTTGATAACTCATATGAAAGTTCTAACAGTTAGGCATCAAAATCAAATTCATCGAATGTCAGTACTGCGTAATGAGTTTTGGAAAATGTTTATCGATAATGTTTGGAAATAATTTTCTATTCTTGTCAATCAAATACTCATTCGTTTAACTTCAATCACAAACTAATTCAATATATTGGTTGTTAATTTTGTATCAAAGTAGGACATTAGAGACTGGAAGAAATGAATGTTTGATATGATGGAAACTAAACTAAGTAGTAGCCAACATTAATCCATGTGTAATTAGCCTATTTGTTTTTAAATAAGGTGAGATGTGATTACAAAATGATACAAATGTGTTTTCATTTTATTGACTAAATCTCAACATGCTAGTTTTTGGTAATTGCAAGCAGTCTAATGAAATAAATTTAAACAATTTAGACTTTCCTTGTTTCATGTGCATCTGATGAAAAGTTTTCAGTATTTGACAAGATAAATATGTCATCAAAATATCCAGTCAACTGGTGCGATGATCATTCTATATTTTGTCAGGGATAAGGAATTACACATCAATGCGAAGTAAAACCATATCCTGAAGTTATTTTCAATCATCAACTGACATCAACTTGTGAATCCTTGTTTATTCCCATATGTTCAAGGGTCGTCCAGCAGTTTAACTGTTACTCAAGGTCATTAGTTCCTGTAATGAGGACAACTAAATCGGAATCCAATGGTCTAAATCCACAACTTCAGTACATTCGTGATAAAGAACATTGATCCATCAAATATTAACTCTGGGTTACTGTATCAAGGTTAACATCAATTAACTTAAAAGATGTACGATCAGCACGATTTAAACTATTAACTGTTTTGAAAGGTTATATTCCAAGTATGTCTAACGAGAAAATAAGATACCCCAAAATGTAACTGGATAAATTAGCTGACTGATTTCACTTACTGAATCTATGTTAGGATTAGATGTCTGCATTTCATCTTGATATTTGTAATGATCATTTGGATAATGTTCGTTTTGTTGTAACCCGGGTGCAGCATTTCCACGACGACGAAAGCTTGAACGGAAGCTACCTTGACGGCTTCCACCGCTTACCTCTAAGCTATTGCCAATTTGTGCGGAATTTTCAGGACCTAGTGTGTTTTCTTTTAACATACCTTGTGTATGCAAACTGTTAAGATCGGTTCTTCTACCTCTAGCTGTTAAATCCTCTTCATTATTCGAACTAAATCCAAAAATATCTTTTTTCACCAAAGGATTTTGCTTTTCCCACATAATTCCTGTGAATGATATAAATATATTATTCATAATTATATATGTGTATTGTTCCAATGTAGATAAAAATTATTTTGTCACAAACTGAAATGTAAGATGATTAAATCAGAAATAATGCATACAACATTAAGTACGGAGAAGAAAGAAAATGACTGGCTTAACATGGTCGAACACAATAATTATAATGATTTTAAGGAGAGTTTAGTGGCCCTAAATCTGACTCCAATTAGATTTTATGAATGACTGTTTTCAAAATATGCATCCTGGCTATCCTCATATATAATTATCGACATAATCTGCGTTAGTGAATAACGGAATTATAATAAGTCAAATACCAGAAAGGATTTCGAATACGTATATATCCTACAATCGTTGATCCAAACAAAAGACCGGAGAAACGAAGAAAAAGAGAGAAGCGAAATCACGCGCGATGAAGGCGTGTGAGCCAACTCGATTTAATCAAGAATTAATCAATATTTATAATCACACAAAAATAAGCTACAGACATATGATGAGTAGGATAAGAAATGTACACACATACTCTCACATAAAAGCAATCAGGATTGATAAGTGGATAATTAACAAGGTCAAAACGTGACTGAAGAAGAATGAATAGATCGGCCTGTCCGAAAGCTAGAATAAGTTATATGTAACCGACACTACAAGAAAGAATTTGTGCAATAAAATAGTAGTTACTTATGAGTAGTAAAGTTATTTTGATTGAACCTTACATCAACGGTCGAAAAGTTCGGTTTTTTTCCTGTCTAGTTAAGCTGAGATTCTACTGATTTGATTAAAGACTTAGTACTTATGAAATACAGTATATCAGACTGTTTAAGTATTTAGGCCTTTCGTGCTTCAAATAAAAAGAATTGGTATAGCAAAGAGTTCTCTTTTCAGAGAATTCAAATTTTCTAGGCTATACAACTGCAAATGTATACTTATTTTCCTAAATGATGGTAATGACAATAATAGTGATGATAAAATTTTGCTGAACATGGTAGCAGTTATGTAAAATACATGAAGGCACAAAATCTGTATTTTTGTTAGGGAAACTAATAATGTTGTTGCTGAGAGCTTGAGTATTAGATAAGCATGTTTAACAATCAAATGTTTCTCATTCTATACACAGTAGTTTCAATTTTTACATCATGTTAAACTTATGAAAGAATTATTATAGAAAGACTTACCCAACTGAACGAACTCTGGGGAAAATTCACGTGCTATTGCCCTGGCTTCTTCAGAAAGTTTACGTGCTTCTCGAGCACGCGCATCAGCTGTACCTGCTACTGTTCGTGCAGTTTGAGCTCTAAAATAAATGAAAGTTGACTGAATAATGACTTTTTAAATTATGGAAAGGAAATTATTTTGCAAAATTTATGGCGAATTTCATTTGCCGAACGAGTTTAATAACTGGATTGAGATACAGAAATATAGTTGTGTAATGATTACAACTTAGTGGACTGTATATTACTCGCTTTAAACAATTCATACACTCCAATCTCTATGGAAACTATAAACTGCTTCTGATAATCAAAATGGGATATTCAGGTTTTCGGATTAACTTCTAACTCCATAAGATCATTTTGGATATCTGTCCTAATACCTATTGAATATAAGTTTCGAACTGGAAATTCAAGAATTCAGAACGACACCCATTCTTCGTGATAAAATGGGTAAGTTTGAAAACAATGGGATTCATAACTGAAATCTTACAAAAGTTAGAATATTTCTGCGTTGACGAAATTTCCTTAGTATGGATAACTCTAAACAAAGATTTAACTAATGCTGTTCAAATGATTACTAATTATATTTCTCAGAGATTGGTCTTGGTAACTTTATCACACTGTGCTAACACAACTTGAACTGAAGCACAAATATACCCGGTTCTACGTTGTATATGACTGGTTGCCAGAGAAAGATGCAACGACTATTCAGTATTTTCTGGTAGGCCGTCTGAATAACTTTGGGAGAACTCTGTCAATGTGAAATCGTCTTTTGACTTTCTCATTATATCAGAGAACAAAATATAGTTTAATGTTTGGTTATTTAGAATAAACCGTAGTTACACAATAATGACTGAAGTACCCTGTGTGTTTATAAATATTAGCGATTTATAGCCATATTTTATGGAACACATTTATCAAGTTAACCGAATTTTATCGATCAAATTTTGCCAGACTAACTTTAGTGCCTAAACGAAATCAACATATATTAGTTCTGGTTGTTTTCAAAGTTCATGATCTGGACAACCAAATAAGTACTTTGAAATAACCATAACGCAATTAATGTCAAGTATCAGGTTACATAATTTTAGCAGTATGTGAAATTTATAGGAGTAGAATATTATGATAGTAGACAGATTTTTAAGAGTTAACGTTTCAGCTCCAAAATTCAAAGCACTTCATATTCTTCAGGAAACCAGTACTGACATCTGTTAAATGATCTCTGAGTAAAATCTGTTGTTTGTCCTGAGTTGATTTGCTTTTTTTTGCAGTCTAATGTTTGTTGATATTTAATAAATAATCTAAATAAAGAGTGGAAAATTAATTTGATTTGATTAATCCAACGGATGTATATTTCCTGTTTTTTAATGTGGAATGTTTTTAAAATGTAAATAATTCACTTCACGGTAAGACTATAATTTATGGACGACCTTTGAGCGACGCTAAAGTGACCTTGAGAATGTCCACATACTAACTAGGACAAAATGAGGGTTATAAAATATGGTGAGGAACTAGAATTAAGATTTACTGTTGATGGTTAAGAGTTAGGAATTAGATTTCTGGTTTTCATTACGAACTGACATAAGCTAAAATGCCAAAAACGCTCTTCAGCCAAATAGATGAATGAATTTCGCGCCAAAATTTAAGACCTTTTATCTTATATCTGATTAGTTTGTCCATAAATTATAGTCTCGCCCTATCTATTATCAAGTAATAAATGCAATCAGTTTATAAGATTATGAAAAGAGCGTTTTAAAGTTTGTACATGATGTTAGAATATTTGCTCCATTGTTTAGATTAAGTCATCAAGATACGACTTATCAACTAATTACTGTAATGTATAGTTATTTATGTTTATCTAATGCATGAAGTATTAGTGTGATTTATTGGAAAATTAATTAGTAAACGTTTACTATAAATTAAGTCTAGCTTCAATCGACTCGTGAATTCCACTATTAAATTACTATAATATCCACAAAACCCCTTCTGATAATAATTATCAAATGCTCACTAGTGACGGTCCTCAAGAGGTGTTTCCTGGAGTTCTGGTGAGAAACAGTGACCTATGGAGTTCAACCGGGTCAATTGTGAGATAATAAATCACTAAAGACAATGGTGGATGGTATCTCAATTTCGTGGATTGATTGATGTTAGACATTAATACCGTTGGATGCCGGCTCAGTGGTCTAGAAGCTAAGCGCTCGTGCGCGACACCGATAGGTCCTGGGTTCGAATCTCTAGAAGCAGGATCGTGGATGCTCGCCTCTGAGTCGTCCCTTTCTAGGAAAAAACAGCAGTCCAGTGCCTCCAGGTTTTCCATGGTGGTCTATCTTCAACTGACTCAAGAATTCAACTATTAAATTAAATCTAATTCAGTTCTAAAACAATTAGTCCCTTTGATAAACTTATATTAAGCAAATACATCACACAGTTCTGATAATCTTTTCCTAGTTTATGTCTAACTTGTAAGCTGAATATTTCTATAAAGACAGACAGTGTTTTCTTTAATTGACATTGTTTACAGCTCGTTTTAGTAACTAATTAAGAATCTTATGAAAAAAGTATAAAGAATTATTGATTAAACGTTTTGTTGAATTTGTTCACTAATGGAAGGATCATTTTATCAATGCTTTGGTTTATTAATTTCTAAGTGAATGTATCATAACAAACAATATATGTTAGATTGTAGATGATTTAAAAAGAGAAAATTTCAAATTACCGCTGAAAGGCTGATTCGTATGAACTTTCTTGAGCTTTCTTTGCTGCATCTTCAGCATTTTTTACTGCTTCCTCTATAGCGTCTCTTAACTTTGTATGCCGAAGCATAAACAATTTACTTTTTCTGTTTAGAGCTTGAACAAGTATATTCTCTTTGTATCTTCCTTCTTCTTTGGTTCCATCTGTACGATAAGTAATGCCATATCCATCCTTTTTATTATTAAACCATTCTCCTGCATAACGTAATCCATCAGATCGTTCAGCAACACCATATCCTGAACGTCTGTCCTCATTCCACTGACCACTGTACGTCTCAGTAACATTGGGTCCTAATGTTTCTTCCATGAATTCGTGAAGCCCTTGACCTCCGTTCCCTACAGCCTTAACATCACCACGACCAAATGAGTTCGTTGTTATTTGACTTGAAGTACTGAGATTCGATCGAAGTGACCCACCTGGTCGACGTCCACGACTATGAAATAAACCACCACTTCCACCACAAGTGGAAAACGTACCAATTGATCTTCCTCCAACGATAGATAAATCACCAGTTGACTTTTGCTTTCTTAACTTTCGAAAGAAACTCCGTTTGAAGATGGACTTTTTCTCTGTTGTTGGAGTAGCACTTCGATAGCCTGAAGAGCTACTTCTTGAATTGTTTGATAGGGAAGATGGCAAAGGGCAAGATGTAGCACGCAAAACAAACCCACTTCTTCTTTCATCTGGTCGACCTCTTTCTGCGCTGTTCCTGACATCGCCACCACTTCCACCTCCGGAGCTGTTTGTACCTTTCCAACCGCGTTCTGAATCTGTTCCCGATGGCAAACTATTTTGCGATTGAGCTGCGCGTACTGTGCGATTAAATTCAGCTGCTAGAGCATAGGGTGCTGAACGACGAACACCAAGACCCTGACGCATACCCTTAGACCATGCTCCAGCATATATGCCTATAATGTAAAATCAACAGGAACTTGGTAAAGCAGTCATTATATATATTAGCAAACTTATGAGATGAAATTATAAATTATCTGACATCATGTAGAATGTACGAAGCTTATATATAACTAGCCAATAAACTCTTGTATGCATTTATTAATTCATATATGTATATTAACTCTGTGCAGGACATTACATCAAGATATTTCATAGGAAGTGGAATGAATTTATCTTATACAAGTTATTTCATTAATATGGATTCGATCTCATTATTAACAGATTTAATACTGAAGTAAATTAAAACATATTTGAGGAAAAAATCATCAATGAGTAAAGTTCTACAAAGTTAATAAAAATAGTCATTGTTACATATGACCCAAATCTTGACTTTGAACTCATGTGGAAAAAAAAACTATTTTCGTCAATCCCTAAAAATATATGAAATATCTTAGGAATCCTCATCAACAATCTTTAGCTGTACTGTTTTCTTCCCTTATGCTATATATACACACATCATTAACAGTGATTATCATCTATGTCGTGATTAATATGTGCTAATCATATTTTGATGTTAGTTATAGTAGTGATAGTAGTACATTTATTAGTAGATAATAGTTGTAAAACAATTTCTATGATATTCCAAGTGACATTTATCATATTAGATTCTCTATTTGTAACTGTGTTTGTTAAATGTTTCATTTTAAGGACAAATGTATTTTATACATATTTTGAATTTATTATCCTTTTTTCGTTGTTATTTTTTTCTGTTTTGTTAATAGGATAATAGATGTAACTAGTTCCAGTTGTTTTACACACACACACACACAAACCAGCAAACTAAAATGTATTTATGCGTATCCCATAAATAGATGTTTGTAACCATAGTACTGAAATATGATCAATGATTAAATGTATGGTTATAGTTCATGATATTTACCTAATTAGAAGTAAAACAAAAAGATGATCTGTACATTTTGTTTGTTTGTTTGTTTTTCAAAATATGTCAATATAGTATTTTCATTTAAAAATTCATACAGAATTTTTGTTTTGAATAATGATAATAATGTGAAATAAATGAATACTTTTATATAACTACGAATCTTCGACTATGGTATGTAAATAATTTATTCTTCATTAATCTATTAATTTCATAGCCTAGAATTGAAAACTTTCATTGAACTTGACAGTTGAATATTTTCAAAGAAATTAGATATCCTGGTAACATTATAATTTATGGACGATCTTTGAGTAACACTGAAATGACCGTGGAATATCTACCAACTTACTAAGTTTAAATGAGTGTTATATATGAATGTGGAGAATAAGGATTAGGATTTAAAGTTGAATGTTAGAGTTAGGAATTAAATTTAAATGTTTTCATTACTAACTGACATCAGTTATAATGCTAAAATGCTATTTGACTAAATGAATGAATAAATTACACACCAAAATGTAAGATCTGCCATCTTAAATTTGATTGGTTCGTTCGGAAATTATAGTCTCGCCGTTATCCCTTAGAGTTAATTCAATTAGTAATAAAGTATATTTTTCATCAACAATGTATAATCAGTCGTCATTTTCAGTAAAATATAATTATATAAGTATCAATTAATTGACACATTTTAAAGGCTTATACTTAGATCAACTACAACTCAATTGAAAACAGATCTTAAGTAAAAGCTATAACTGTAATTTTATTTTTAAGTGTTGAAATTTTATTCATATTTGGTTAGCCTTACCTTACCTACACCTGTTACTCCTAATTGAACATAGGCCGCCGACCAGAGTTCTCCAACTCACATTTTCCTGGACCTTCTTTTCTAATTCAATCCAATTCTTGTTCATTTTTCTCATGTCTATCTCCATTTCTCAGCGTAATGTGTTCTTTGGTCTTCCTCTTTTCCTTTGTCCTTCAGGATTCCATGTGAGGGCTTGTCTTGTAACACAGTTGAGTGCTTTGCTCAATGGGTGTCCTATCCACTTCCAGTATTTATTCCTGATTTCTTCCTCCACTGGGATCTGGTTTGTTCTCTCCCACAGTACGTTGTTGCTAATAGTGTCCGGCCAACGGATCTGAAGTATTTTGCCTAGACAACTGTTAATAAACACCTGTATCTTCTGGATGATGGCTTTCGCAGTTCTCCCGGATTCTGCCCCATATAGTAGAGCTGTCCTGACATTTGTATTGAAAATTCTGATATTTGTGTTGGTTGACAATTGTTTTGAAATCCAGATGTTCTTCACTTGTAAATATGCTGCTCTCGCCTTGCTGATTCGCTCCTTCACGTCGGCGTCAGATCCACCGTGTTCATCAATGACGCTTCCCAGATATGTAAAGGTTTTTACATCTTCCAAATCTTCTCCGTCATGTGTGACTGGATTGTTGCATGCTGTTTTGTATCGGAGAATCTTGCTTTTTCCTTTGTGTATATTGAGACCTACTGCTGCTGAGTCTGCTGCTACACTGATCGTCTTCTCGTGCATTTGTTGTTGCGTTTGCGATAGAAGATCTAGATCATTTGCGAAGTCTAGATCGTCCAGCTGCATCCTAGATGTCCACTGTATCCCACGTTTCCCTTCAGATGTTTGAAGAGTAGTAGAAATCAGTCTATCTTGTTATTTTTTTAAGGCCCTAATTTTCTTCAAATATATACGGATCATTTATACCAGTTTAATCTAATTTAACTAATAAACTGTTAAAATTCAAAAATATATAAGCTGAAATTTTCGTTAGCTTATTTTATCTAATAAAAATGTATCAAGTCGGCAAGACTTTATTGTTAAACGTTATATTTTTATGATTACTATTATTGATATTATGGTTTTAATTTATGATCTCTGTAGACTATTTGCAGTGTGTGTATATAAACAGGTAACTAAAAGTTCAGTATTACATTTTATACCTTCAACTTAAAATGCTTATTGATTTAAAGAAACTGTATGTTCTGAATAAGTTATGCAAACAAATAAATGTATCATTTATTCTCTTCAACTTTTAATGCATACTCCAAACATAATACGGTAGTTTTTAATTGAATACATTATTGAGGAAGGTTTTTAAAAGCATATTGGATGAAGGTATTAGTGTATATGTTGAAAGTAAGCTATTATTATAGTTTGTTTTTCATAGAACAACCACATCTTATGAAAATAAATCTTAACTTTTGTTAGTTATGATCATATTGAGTTTATCATTAAGCTTATTTCACTTTAAAACATTTATAACTGATTCACTTTGATCTTAATATGAAGTGATTTGACTATAGATCTTTGTAAGTATAACTTATACGAATAGTTATTCATTTTGTCATATCTCCTATTACCGTTCTGCTTTTATTTTTTACTCCCATGTACAATTATATTAATTTACGTTACGGAAATCGGAAGAGTGTTAAAAGCCGAGAATTAATTGTTTGGATTATGATTTTGTTTAGACACTGATCTGAATGTATTACGGACATTTGTAGGGATAAATAAATTGTAGGTTGGTTATTTTCCGTCGACATCGCCAAGTTGTTAAAAGACCTGTGTCGTGTTGGGTGATTTGACACTACTTTTCTGAGTGAGGGACTTACTAGGTTTGTACTAGTGTAAGCACTAGTTAATACCTCTTCCTCTAAAATGTTGATATTTTTCAGATCCTTCTGATACTAGTAGCTTTATACTTGTACTAAAAAAGATCAAATCCAAAATTGCTGTCATACGTGCATAGTGGTTAATGCATATAATATTATATATTGGTCAGCCGACTTTTATATGTATTTGAAAGTATTTGTTTCTAAGGTTAAAGGTAATATCTTTTCGTGTATAGCAGAAAGGAGGGTTTGTCAATCTTTTTCACGCAAACTAAATTGATCTACAGGACTCAATCTACAAGAAAGTACCAGACAATCATGACATTAGTTACTACTCAGTGATTAATCACTTGTAAATATATCAGTTTTATGAAATGTGACCCGAGACCAAAGTAGTGTAACAGTAACGTCTCAAAGTGTTAGCCTGCATGATGTGACCTTGAATCCATTTTTTAGCACCAATTCCTTCAAGGTAGCAGGTATGCCATACTGCAGAATGTCAGATGACATAATGCCTAGATCTAAGGTTTCCTGTCGAATAAATCTAACCACTTAATATCGTTTCATAAGGAATAAACCATTTATGAACAGTAGTGTTAAAAGTCTGCTATTTCGAATAAAACTTGTAAGACTCAATACTTAAAATTAACGTTAAATTGCAACTACTTATTTCCTGCTATTAATTCCTTCTGTATGATAAAAAATGTAGTAACTTTTTTACTTAGAAATGTTATCAGATATAAACAGTTTAAATTAAGCTCTTCTTTTAAATCGATAGTGTTATCTAATTGGTTGACAAATTACTAAACAAGTTTATAGAGGGAATAAAAATGCTAATAATAATGATACAATAAACATCTGTCTTTCTATGTTTTCTTGTTTATCAAATATCTTTTTATTCGATAAAATACGTTTTTTCATTTATTAGAGAAGTGGAAAATGAAACTAATTGTATTACGAAATGTTAGGTCCCTATTAACATAATGAATGGTAACTTTTGGGATCAATTTATGGACCAATACTATGCGTATATTTTTATTGTATAATTGTTAAATAACTAAACTATTCATATTCATATTCTTCTTATTATAAACTTTATTTTGATCTATGAACCATTATTATACGTTTTACTATTCTTGAATTATTCCTTGTCTGTTTGTCTCTGTCTCCCACATTCACTGCCACATTTGGCCAAATTTTGTACAAATGTTAGTTTCTATTTGGTGCTACGTTGTTGTCTATTTGATTGGTATATAAACTCAGTATGTTTGAAATATAAGGATTCATATTGCGGAGGCTGAGACTGGTATTCTGGGCTTAACTGGGATAGGCAGAAAGCAGGACCGATCACGACTCTAGGCTGCTCGCACGTGTTTTACGCGTCCTTGATCCGATCGATAATTCGCTGCTTCTGATTGGCGGCTTTGGGCCACAGC